TTGTCCCAAAAAACTTTGTCACTTTCCTATTAAAGTAATGAATTTGTGGCTCTATTCATTTCTCTCTCCTTCGCATAAATCTCAACCACGCAGTTTTTACGATTCTAATTTCCCACCCAACATCAACTTGGCAAAGTTGAGTGAGATGGAGGTAATACTACATAAGAAATTATATTCATGGAAATAAATTTTGAGATACATTAAAAATAATTTACTAATTTCATGCTCCCTCCAACGCAATGACGCATTCTAAGGTTCCCACTTTCCTCTTTTGGGAAATCGCATATAAAGGTTAGGAAACAATTAACACTCGTAAATGACAATTTAATCAAGAAAATGTTTAAAATCCATTAATGACTTCATTATATTATATATCTATCAAAATTATTTTTAACAATTTATCAATGACTTTTTTTATCATTCAATTTATCAATGACTTGAATTACCTTATTTGAGTATTGCCTAAATAACCGTGCTAAAAAGGAAACCTTTAACGCGGACGGAGGCAGTATTCTATTATTTCTATAACACAAAGTAAATGTGAAAGCGGGAGACATTTTTAAAAAAAAATTGTAATTGTATCAGTAATTGCATACTTCAACATACCCCTGCAATGTGACATCACCATGATGTCATCACGGGATAGTGTTACTCTCCTCCGTACTAAAGCAACACTGCCGGCATATTGGTTGGTCATAAAATTACAGCTTATTACATCTCCTTAATTTCGAAAATTATTCATCGTTTAACTGAAATAACACATAAGATTCATAAAACTGAACCTCAACAACACCCTCTAAGATTGATCTACTCACTGCTGATAAGATATAAAAAGATATGTCCGAACAAACAAAACAAGATGCGATAAAATAAGAAGACAGACAGTAATAATATACTAACCACCGGATATTAGACGAACAGGTGGTGTAGACTGCGTCCGACCTAAGGGGAAGAGGAACTGCAAACGGAGAGCCACATAGCGTACGACCGTCTGGCTGAGAGATGATCGGATAGGTTATTCCAGATCTTGGCACGTGATTTGATAATCGGACCGGATCAAACACTTTGGACCAGGGGTCGGTTTTTGGTTTGGTTCAGTTCGGTTTAAAATGGATCGGAAGATATACATAGTATTACGAAATAAAAATCACACGTGGTACTATTTTTCTATTTAGTTCGGTTCGATTTGGATATGTTATTTTTTAATAATAACATACGAAGGTTTTATTGATTCTTTTAATGTGCTTCGTTTTGTTCGATTTTTCACGATTTCGGTTCAGTTTAATAATATTTGAAAGAAACACTACCAAACTCAATTAAATTTGCACATGGTTCAATTTCGGTTCCATTTAGTTTGATTTGATGTGATTCAAGTAAATCAAACCAATATGACCACCCTTACATTGGGCCATTAGCTTTAAATCAATTAATTTGGCATATTTTAAATGAATTTCTTTTACTGTTGTCTCACTAACTTTATGATTTTTACTTTAAACAAAAATTGTGTTCTCTATTAATTATTTCTCTTATGCACAAACTTCTATCACACAGTTTGTACTTTATCTCTCTTAAGGGACGGGGTAGTTGAACCGACTGATTTTTGCCAATTTACTGATCTGCAAAAATATTACATCTAAAATATTTTTACTAATAAATAAAGAAAAAAAATCTTATGCAAAATAGTTACAATGATCTTCTACAGTAATATCAGTCAACTCTATTACAAAGGTAACTTAAAATACTTCATTTGTCCGTTCCACAAAACTTAGACAAATCTCCTTTTTAACCGTCCCAAAAAAACTTTATCATTTTTATTTAAATTTACAAAAATACGGTTAAAGCCCTTTCAAAACACATTGTGTATGATTAAAGTAGTTTATCGCTCATCTCCACATATCTCAATCACGTAACTTTTGCTTTGTTATTCTATGTGTGAGAGCGTTCCAAAAAGTTAGAGCGCGCTCCAAGAAATTGAAGTGCGGCCAGAGAAGTTGGAGCATTAGAGCGTGCTCCAATATGTTAGAATGTGCTTCAATATGTTAGAGTGTGCTCCAATATGTTAGAGTGCTCCAAGAAGTTGGAGCGTTGGATCGTGCTCCAATATGTGAGTGTGCTCCAATATGTTAGAGCGCTCCTAGCCTAAAAGTTCGAGGAGCTCCTAAACGTTAGACTTTACAACAAGTTAGAAAGCTAGCGCTCCAAGTAGCTACGGAGTAAAACACATTTCAAAAAGTTAGATTGCGCTCCAAAAAAATAAATCGTGATCCATAAAAATCTGTTCCCCAGCACTCCCTACCATGAGTGCATTGATCTGAGAAAAAAGAATAAAATAGTACATATTACATGAATGAAAAGCAAAATAATATATTTTATCGGAACTCAAAATAAAAATAGTTGTTACCCTAAATAGGAGTAAAATATTAGAAAAGTTTCAAAATACGAGTTCTCTTTAATTTATTCCCCAAAAAAGACTAATTTAATTAATCTTCATATTGTGCTCATCTCCTCTCAGTCATACGTCTCTAGTCATGGTGATTTTTAGAAGCATGAAAGATGATGAAATGTTTCTTGATTTCCCGGCCACTGATGAGCGGTGAACGGCCTTGGGAGCGACATCCAGGTATGGTTGGCCCTCACCCTCCCCCACTCAGCCTCCCCCCTCCTCATCCTCCTCCTCCTTCGTCTTCGTCTTCCCCCTCCTCCTCCTCCTCCTCTTCCTCCTCCTCCCACCCCCCCTCATCCCCACCCACCCCCCCCCCCCCAAACACCTATCCCAACCCGCTTACCACAAAAAAACAATGAAAAAACAAAAAAAATTATAGGCCTGGACTGGGCCCGACCGGGCAGGGCCAATTCCAAAGGAAGTGCAGCCGTAACCGCCCCTCCCTAACACCTCGGTTGGTCCCAGGCTCGGAACCAGTCCCAGTTCACCGGGCCGGTCTGGTTCCGCACAGTGGCGGTCTGGGCCGGTTCCCGAGCCAGTCAAAGCGGAACCGGGCCACCCCTAGATATTAGTGTCACGTTTTTAATTTGAAAATCTCATTCTACTTCGGTACAATAGTGTCATTAGGACGGCACTCCAACTGCAAGATGACACTTGAGTGATAGTCATAACATATACGAGATCTAATACGAGATTTTTTGTGATCGGATCAATGGAGGTAGTGGCAGCGCCATAGACCTGACCATTCATGCAGACGAGGCACAGTGGTGTTGGATGAGGTGACGACATCGAGGAATGTGGCGGCGGCGACGCTGGATATGGTGGTGGCTCGCGACAAGGCTAGATGAGGTCAGAGATGGGGCATCCAGTGGTGCCCGTGGCAGTTGCGGCGCAAACGTCGCTGGTGGAGATTGCGGCCTTGACGTTGATGGTGGCAGTGAAGGTGACACTAGAGATGGTTGTGGCCCTGTGCTAGAGGGACTATGTTAGGTCTCAATCGTCTCATATTATCTTTTACCCCCTCCGTCCTAAAATGAAGTTTCAAATTTGACCTACACACATATTTATGTAAGATAGTGTTTTATTTTGACTTTCTAAATATAATCCTGACTTTATGTCAAAACAAACAAAAAGTGGGTAAAAAGTGAGAATAGTTGTGACATTTGGGTTAAAAGTGATTTCTTTTTATAAAAATGAGAACTTTTTGAAAATCCATAAAAAGAAAATGATAATTTTTTTCGGGACAAAGCTAATATTATTTATTTTGTATTATTAATTAATGAATAAACTAATAAAAAAAGATGAAGTTCCAAAACCAAGATAGTGAAGTTGAGAGTCGTGGAGCTCTTAGGGCAGAGCCGCCCTAGGTAATTTCCAATTTCGATCTTTCTTGATTGAAGTTCGGTCAGTGTTTCCTTAGCGAGATCTCTCGCATAGGGTTTTTACTTCGCCGCCCAGGTGCGGTGTTTCTTTCAATCGACGTAGCTCTGCGCCGGATTCCCGTGGTTTGGACGTAGCTCAGAATGGATGATTGTGGCAGCGGGAAGATGGTGGAAGAAGCGAGAGAGAGAGAGAGAGAGAGAGAGAGACGTAGGGATGATCGGGACATGGTTAGCGTGGAGAGGCTGAAGGCTCCATTCAATGGCATGAATTTGGGTCATACGGCGGGTACGCTACTGAAAGAGGGTATCAATCGACTGACGGTTCGACCTCCGCATGAACCACCACCATGGGTTGTACGAGGTGCTAGAGTCCGTGAAAGTTTTCCTAGTAATTTTTATCTGTTTGTCATTTTTTTTTGTATTCATCTTTGTTGTTGGTTTGACAATTTGTTAGAGTTTTTAGCCTCTCCTTATGTCATTGTGTATGATTGGATATATGAGAACAGGTTTGGCTGTGTCAAGCCCACTACATGGTTAGCGATTCATGTTGTTTTTTCAGGGGTGATCGTCTCAAAGTCTCACCATAGGGTTATAATCGTAGTTGTTGGAGTTTCAGTTGGTGTCAGTTTTATTTTCTATTTGTTTGATGTAATAATCCTGAATCATATGAATAGAGACCTGTTTTGATGATAAAAAAATAATGAATAAACTAATTTCATCGAATGTTGTCAATCCACCTCTCTTTCTACCGAACATCGGAGTCACAGTGTTACACTTAGAGGGTGTTTGGATCTGATTGTCAAAACTGATTCTGCTCCTTCAGGGAGCAGAAGCAGAAGCTGGAGTGTTTGGGTGAAATTCCAGAAGCACTTCTGGAGCTCTATTTTACTCTCAGAATCAGTTTTTTTAGATGCTGGGGGGTACCAGCTTCTGAAAACTGATTCTGATTCTGCTTTTGCTTTTAAAAAAGAAACAGAAGCAGAATCAGTTCCAAACACCCCTTATACGGAGTAAAAAGTTTTACTCCTAAATACAATCCTCCGTCTCTTTTTAATCGCAACATGTTGAATTTTACACTATTCACATATTCTACTTTGATTACATTTTATATTATTATTTTATAAAAATTATTTTTTTTAAAATTATTATGTTCAATTCATCTCATTACAAATTTTCAAAATTTAATTTTAAAATATTTTTTACTAATAGGGATTAAGATATAATTACGGTCAAAGATGTGCGTTGACAAATGTGAAATGTTGACCGTTGCAACTAAAAAAGAACGGAAAAGTACGAAGTAATAAATAAATAAATAGAATTAAAAGCAATCACAAGAAAAGGAATGAACACGAAAAAGCGACCCGCCGCCGGTCGTTAGTTGCAGAGTCGCTGCTCACACCCCACTATTCTTTTTACTCCTCACCATCTCCACATTCAACGGCTCTACTTCTAAACCCATTTCTCCGATCACCATTAATCCATTATACATAGTATCGTATCATTCCATTCTCCACTCTCCAGGATTACGCCAATCTTGAGCAGAAATCATTAAGATGAAAAACAACAATCTTGGGAGCCACACCAAATTTATACTTCTCCGCCCTCTCATTCAGAAACAGGGAGGAGGATGTTCAGGCCGCGTTTGGCTGCTCACTGCTTTTATTTCCTTATTCTCAGGCGCGTTATTTCTCACCCTCTTCTACGCCCGGGACTACATCCTGAAACCCTCTGTTCCGGTCGTATCCTCCACCGTCTCCGTCACCGGCGGCAACCCTCCGATCCCGAAATCGGTGGCCAGGGCCCTTGTCTATTACGCTTCCCAATCCAACAGCACCGACCGGATGTCGTACGCCGACATCAAATGGATCTCCGACATCCTCCGGCAGTGCTCTCCCCCGTGCAATTTCCTCGTTTTCGGCCTCACCCACGAGACCCTTCTCTGGCAAGCTCTCAACAGCAATGGCAGAACGGTGTTCATTGACGAGAACAGATACTACGCCGCCTACTTCGAGGAGAAATACCCAGAAATCGAAGCCTACGACGTTCAGTATACGACCAGATTGAGCGAATTTGAAGCTCTGATTTCCGCCGTGAAACGGCAGTCTCGGAACGAATGCCGGCCGGTGCAGAACCTCCTGTTCTCGGAGTGTAAGCTTGGGCTCAATGATCTGCCCAACAACTTATATGAAGTGGATTGGGATGTGATACTGGTCGACGGGCCACGTGGGTACTGGCCGGAGGCGCCGGGGAGGATGTCGGCGATCTTCACCGCCGGCGTCCTTGCCCGGAGCAAAAAGGGCGGGAACCCGAAAACGCATGTTCTGGTTCATGATTATAACCAGAGGGTGGACAAGATGGTGAGTGATGAGTTCTTGTGCAGGGAAAATCTGGTGAAGTCGGAGGAGATGATTGGGCATTTTGTGGTGGAGAAGATGGATTCCAACTGCTTCCATTTCTGTCGCGCCCACAACTCAACATAATCATCCATTCTCCACCATATGGTCCATATCTCAATTTCTTCTTTAATCTTTACCATAAATTCAAATGTTTGCTTTTTACGTAGTACTTTTTTGTGGGAAGTGGAATTGCAAATGCTATTGATACACACATTTTATACACATAAGTAATATACATCCGTCTACATAATCAATCATTCAGAGGCTCCATAGTAGACGGAAAAGTAATAGACATGTACTCCGTATATCATATGTGTAACAAATTGTGTGTATAACAAGCATTACATTATCCATTCCGTATAAAAAATAGGTGTACAACAAAAATAAGATGGTCAAAGACTTGAAGGGAAGACAACCTCTTCTCTATATGTTTGTGTAAGCTGAGGTAGATTATAACTTTCATTTTGTTACAACTTTCTTTAAGTGAAAATACAAGTTTATAATCTCTTCCTCATTGAGTTTAATTTATTTGTAATCGCTATGTATCATAGTTTTTGTCCTATTTATAGAGGGGGGATTTCTTTGTTAAAAGAAAGATGAACTGCCTGCCAAAGCTATGTATTTTGGGTAATATTGAACTCTGATTTTCAACTACGAGTGATCACTTCAATAATTTTCTTTAAAGTTCAGATTAAAGTAAGAAAAGAAAATAAGTGGCTGCAAGGTATGTACTTTGGGCTAAAATTATTTGTATCTAATTATTAACGGAAGTTTCATATCACGTGATTTCTCCAAAATTATAAAGTTATAAAACACGATGCAAATTGAGCTTGAGTTATACAAGTATATATAACGTTACACTACGTACATGACTTGCTATATGAAGTTGCTTGAACAAACTCAATTAATGTAGATTCTTTTTTTACTTGAATTTGACTCCAGAGTTTGATTGGAAGTATGAAGGGAAACTTGAAGCTAGTAGCTTAGTTAGGACATGTTTACTTCACGGGTTACTAAACGGTGCTTACTAAGACCCGCGTTAATAAGCGGCGGATAAAATAAGCAACATTGTAAGATCGTGTTTACTTCAAAAGGTTTAAAACATCGTTTAACATTAAAATGTCCAAAATAACCCTATACATATATAGACACACAAACATTCATGAACACAAGTATTATGTGTACCCACATCCCCAACCCCCTTACCCCCAACCCCTAGGCCCCATACCACCCTACCTACCCCTACTCCCTACCACATCAGCCCGACCCCACCCTAACCTACCACACTCCTACCCTACCCTACCCTACCTTACCTTGACCCCACCATTATCCCGTCCTCGACCCCACCCCTACCCCTAGGCCCTTACCACAACCCCCTACCATACACCCTATCCTACCCTACTCCTACCTTACCTTGACCCCAAGCCCCTACCATACCTTACTCCAACCCGACCCCACCCTACCCCACCATTACCCCTAACCACGACCCAACCCCACTCAATACACCACTTGCCCCTACCTCGGCCCCACTCTGATCTCAACCCAACCCCTTAACCACCCCACCCCTTACCACCCTACACCACACCTACCACCTCTACCAGATGCCCCTTGGCTCCACCCCCACCCTACCGCCATCCTACCCCACGTAGGGTGGGGTTGGAGGTGGGACCGACGTGGTAGGGGGTACGGGGTTGGGTGGTAAGGGGGGTAAAGGGTGAGTGGTAGGGTGGGGTCGGGGTGGTGCCAATGTGATAGTGGTAGGGTGTTGGGGTAGGGTGGTAAAGAGGGGTAAGGAGTAGGGTAGGGGTTGGGGGTGGGCCCGCTGGGGTAGGGTGGTAAGGGCTTAGGGTAGGGTGGGTTCAGGGTTAGGGCCAATGTGGTAGGGTGGTAAGGTGGGGTGGGGGTCGGGTAGATAGGGGTAGGGTTGGGTTGGGTAAGGGTAGGGTGGTGCATGGGTTAGGGTAGGTTGGGGTGGGGCCGATGTGGTAAGGGGTTGGGGTAGGAGGGGGCCTAGGGGGTAGGGTTGGGGTGGGTAAGGGGGTCAGGTGGGGTGGGGTGGGGTAAGGTAGGGTAGGGTAGGAGTAGGGTAAGATAGGATATGGTGGGGTCTGGTAGGGCCGATGTGGTGGGGGGTAGGGGGTTGGGGTAAGGTGGTAAGGGCCTAGGTGTTGGGGTGGGGTCGGGGTAAGGTAGGGTAGGTGGGGTAATGGTCGAGTAGGGGTAAGGTACGAGTATGGATGGAGGTAGTGGGTAGGGTGGGATCGGGGTAGCGGGTAGGGGTAACAATAAGGGTAAGGGCAAGAGGTAAATTCAGAAACTGAAAAAGCTTAAAATGCCGCTTAATTAATACATGGTGGGGTGCTAGGCTTAGTAAGCGACACTTTAAGCACCTATTTCGGTTAGTAAGCGGCTTTTCAAGCAGCGTGCGTGTTTACTTCACATGTCTTACTAACTTAACTGTGACTTTAGCAGCGAAGTAAACGCCTCCTTAGTCAAGTATGAAGCAAGTTGTTTGAACAGTACCTGAATCCCATTCACGCTACATATGCATAACTAACGATCGAGTACGTTCTTGTGCATCAATTTAATGGTTAATTAAAATTCTCACTAGAAATACACAAGGAGCATATAGAAAGTTCCAGCCCTTCTCTTTGATCTTAAATCCAAGTACTAATGTTTCAAAGTATGAAAATCCCAATGCCTTCCCACATTACAAAAAACATGTGTTTTGTCATAGAGTTCGTTAAGGACAGTATTGTAAATCATTCCTAACAAACGATTTTATTAAGGATTTTGTTAGAGATTTTATCTTTGACGAGTGGAAGAAAAACATTAGACCTAAGAGATGCTTTAATTTACTTTGCTCACAGTAAGCCCCGTCCTCATTGCCTTTCAATGGTTTAATTTGAAACCCACCATTAGTGCTTTTGGAGTCTTTGTCATGAGAAACCCGAATAACAATTATTCAAAGTTAGTGCTTATGCAGAATTTCAAGAATATAAGCTCTTTTCCATGCATGCATGTCACATTTGCTTCTATATGAGCTAAGATTTACCTATTGCAATTAACTATATTAAAACAATTAGGAATGTTTTCTTTTGGACGGAAATGTCTCCAATATCGACATTTGACCATGAATATATAAAAATATACACTTATAAAACTTATAATAAACTAACATTTCAATAATACATATCAAAATGAATTATTCAAAACTATTTTGGAATGTTAACTTTTACTACCTCCGTCCCAAAAAACTTTGCCATTTTCAAAACTTTGACCGCCTATATCTTTTTATTGAAAATGATTTAAAATATACGGAGTAAAAGTTATATGAAATGTTCTTTGTTAAAAGTACTTTCATAAAAGTATAAAATTTATAACTTACATAATATTATACTAATCAAAATTAAGGTTCAAATTTTTGGAAATGGCAAAGTTTTTTGGGACGGAAGTAGTAATAATTAACGGTCAAAGTTAACAAAGTTTGACTCAAAAAGCCAAACTGTGAAGTTAACTATGCGATGGCGGGAGCATATGCTTAATACTAGTATATGTATATAATATACGGAGTATTCATATATTCTTTTTCTAAAGGGAGAAATATTTTATTTTCTTCTTCACTCACACTCACTTGATTTTATATATTTTATTTCTTAGGAGAAAAAAAGATTTTGTACTTATCAAAATGGAGCATATATCTACACGATGACAAAACAAATAAAGATATAAAATGGCAATATCGAAGAATTAAACAAGTACCAATTGCATAAGATTTTGAAGGAATTATAGTTTTCTTTCACTCAATACTTTTTAGATTTACATGTAATTGCGCAATCTTGAATTACTTAAGATACGAATTCAGCAAAATGACTTATTGAGCATTTGAGCTCAACCTAAATAATGAGCCAACCAATATATCTAAAACCAGAGCTAATGAGCTATATACGGATCGAGTATAAGCTAAAGTAGTAGGAAACTATGAGATGGGAGCATTTATTTTTGCAATTGAAATGGAATGATTATGGTCACCATCGTAGGTGACCCTGACAATCAACATGTTTGGATCATCCATAGCTCTCTCCACACGTTTACGTGCTGAACACCCCTTCACACTACTGCACTTATAGTAACCCCTGCAAAAATCATAACCATGGTTTCATTCATACTCCGTATACTAAAGAGATAATTACTCTAGATCTAGATTAATAAATTTTAAAAAATATTTGCAGTTTTTGTCCCATAAGATATGTACGTGTCCATTATTATCTTATAACTTTACTCATGACCTATGTAGCACGGATACCGGTACGCGGAAACGCGGAAACGGGTACGGGGATACGTCAAAACAAAAAAAAGTAGGATACGGATACGGGGCCATATTTATAAATATTAAAAGTTATGGGGGTGTATTTACAAATATTAAAAGTTATAGGGGTCTATTTATAAATATTAAAAATAGATTTTTTTTGAATATATATATATATATACATACATATAATATCCTATGATGTCTACTCATTCATTGCATTGAAACATTTGAAGTAATAAATTCATAATATTTCTCATATACACTAGTGTATCTCGAAATATAAATGTAGTCAATAAGTCATTAATTTAAAATGAGAAATAAGTCAAACAACTACAATCTTGAAATTAAAAGTGCAAGTACTCAATTCGGAGTATGAGTTAATGACTTAATTCGGATATAGCCATATTGGCCCATTATTTGATTACCAAGTAAAATGTAGTTTTAGATTTTCATTTTTTTTAGAATTTTATTAAGTAAATTTTGGGATTTTTTTTTAAAAAAAAGTTGATACGGGTATCCGTCAGGATACGAGTATCGGAAACTTTCAAAAAATTACAAAAAAAAATGGAAACTTTTAAAAATTACAGATACGGCCCGGGAACGTACGGTATGAGTATCCTAGAGTATCGGATACGGGAACGTATCGGATACGCTGATACGCTACCCTAGGGAAGTATCCGTGCTTCATAGCTCATGACTATATTATAAGGAGTACTCTCTATTACACATGCCTAATACGGAGTAACTTTGTACATATTAAGGACATTCATTTCCCTCTACAATATACGAGTACTATTTCTGACACAAAATTTTACAAAGGCAGCAAAATTGCTGGATATTGATAAAAGGTTGCAAAAGTCTTAACAATGGGAAACATATATTACGAGCCCGTTTGATGACCCTATTTCTCGTCTTATCAGCAAACTTTTTCAACAAACACATAATTTTGATTTCACACGTTAAGTTATGTAATAATCAAAATAGGTAAGGTTAAAAATACTTTTCTAATTGGATTAGCTGAATTTATTGTAGAAAACCACTTTAACTATTTTCGTTATTTTGCTAATAAAATAAGTAGTACGAGTATATTTTAATTTTTTTTCATAATTCAGTAGAATCAGTCAATTCAATCAGAATTTCAGAAGTAGCCGATCCAACCAATTTCAGTATTGTCAAATGAGCTCTATTAGCGGACATGATCAGTTAATTAGTAAGTAATACTACAACTAATGATGGTCAAAAAATGAAAGTTAATCTTGAAATCTCCCACATATAAATCTTTTTAATGAATTACTAGCTGGTGTACAAAATAA